AGATAAATTATGCAGTTCGATTTACTAATATGGTTAATGGCAGATATCATGTTTCATATTATTTTCTTATCTGGTTTTATTTTCTCCTTGATCTAGTTTAATTAATTAAGAAAAATTATAATATTTACAAAGATATTTTAATCCCAATAACCTTAAAAAATGCTTTATTATAATTATTAAAATAAGTTTTCGCCACATCACAAACCAAGTGTATTTTAAAGTATTTCATACTTAATAAGAAAAAAATTATAATATAATAATACTATAATAATTAAGTTCTTGAAAAAATTTAAGCCGAAGTAAAAAAGTAATTACCCGAAATGGTATATGGTTTTTAGAATTCTGGAAAATTTTGGGCCAGTTTTTGGTCATAACTCAAGTAAAATAAATTATCGAATTAATTCTATCTTAAATTTTGTTAGTAAAATAAGATTCCTACTGAAATTGCAAATAACATCGATAATTTAAAATTCATTTAAAAAGTATAGCCTGCAGTTTTAGGATTAGATTAATTTTTTTTCGAAATTAATTTGGAAAAAAATTTAGTTGAAAATAATTTTCCATCTTTTGTCTTACATTGTTTCCAAAATTTAATTTTAATTTTCTCAGCTTTCCATTAACCAATTTAAATTTATTAAATTTATGTGTATATACATATAGATATTTACATATAACTATTATTTACATCTTTAATGTAATAATTAAATCCTTTAACAAATTCTAATATTTTTGTTTCCTTTGTATAAAGTATTGTTTAAAATATTTTGGCATTAAGCATTTAACACACATTCAAACATTCATTCCTAAAATTTACTTGTGAACTTTTAAAATTCCATTAACCTTCTAATTATTTTTATATATAAAAACCCTATAATCCTTTTGTTGTTTATTTTAATTTATAATTTTTTGAAAATTTTATGTGTTTTCAATTAAAAATTTACATTTTTATTTTGTAGTTAACAACAGAACTACATAAATTTTCTTGTAAATTCTAATAATTCTATATTATGAATTCTATGTAAACTAAAAATATAGCTGTATTAAATAAAAATATTAGAGTATACAGGGATGGACAAGGTTAAAAATTTACCAAATAATATTGTTTCGGATGAGTCAAATATTAAAGTAATAATATCTATATAGCAAAAATTTAAGTAGCTAAAAATTTTTTAAGGTTTTTTTGAGAGACCCAAACTATGGAAAAAACTTTAGATTTATGAATTGAAATATAGATTTCTGAATTAATAGTACTGCATTTCGTCAAATGGTCATTGAGACGTAATTAAAATTTTTCATAGAAAATGCTATTTATTGGGCACAATTACATTACAGAATAATTTTAGTTCGACCCTGGCATAATAACAAATTACTTTTATACATTTGTAATATTCTGTTTGTATATTTGTTCCTTTCTTAATTCAAATCTAATTAGCATATTTTGTGGACTTTCCATTCTAAGTGTATTTAACTTAAATAATAAGGGACAAATATATAATGTCTAGGAAAAACAAACAAAAAGAATACTTCCTTACTGTTTTTTCCTTTTTTTCAATAATTAAAAAATCAAAAACAAAAAGATTTTTTAAATGACAGTGGCATCTTAAGCTTACATATTAATTTACTATGTATTTCATATTATTCATATATATATGAACAAATATATAACGCATATGTATGATAAATACCAGTACTAGAGCAATCAAAATCAATAGATATATTATACATGCATACATATTTATATTTTATCGTTCTATATGGTATAATTGACATGTTTTAGCTAACTTCTTTTGTTTAGAAACTTTCATTGAAATTAAATTCAATGTATATTTTTGATTTTACATGTTGATAGTGAAAAATATCCTTTAAAATTTAATTTATACTCAAAATATTCATTGTATATATTTTATAAGTTATAAGTATAATAAGAAACAACAACAAGGATATTCAAAAGTTGTTAGTAAAATTAAAAATATTGTGTTTCTTTACATTTTTCAGACTTATGTTAAAATTTCATATCCTTTTCTTCTTCTGTTGTACACATTTTTTCATTTTTTTCTTAGTTTTGTTCATAAATTTCAATTCTACTCTAAGTGTGTGTGTATATTATGTACAATATGTACAAATGAACACGTTGTACATAAGTACATATTGTGTGTGTACTGAAATAGAAAATTTTAAAGTGTTGTAACTTTTTTAATATATTTCGGTATTCTGGTTATTGATTTCATAAGAATTTTAAAATGGAAACGGCTCCTTTTATTTTTTCATTTATTTCTGTTATAGCTTTAAAAGGATATTCCAAACACCTTCAAATCTAGTGCTGTTTTGACAGCATTTTCTAAAAAAAATAGAATTATTTCGCATATTGAATATTCTGTTTTTTAAAATAGACTTTTATTTACTATTAAGTAGTTATTCAATTTTTCAAGTTGATAAATTTCAAATAAATATTGTTCTTTGTCCTTTTTTACTGTTTGTTTAATACTTGATGTTTTTCTTATTTATTTTTTTTCCTTCGATTTGAAGTCTAAAGTTACGGTATGTTTTTGTTAAGAATATTTATGTTGTGGCAAAACTGATATCTTATAGGGAATTAAAATCGGGTCTATTAGTAATAGAAATGCCGACCTTTAGGAAAATAGAAAAGGAACAACAGCTCTAATTTGACATTATAAAAAATTTCAATTGGAAACTGGTGTCCATTGACTAAATAATTGAAAATATTTTTTGAAGGAGGGAAAAAAAAAATTGTTAGATATTTTCTTTGACAAATTTTTCGCTGTCATCAAAATTTGTCAAGTAAATTTTATAAAAGTTTGTATGTCATGTTGCTTTTTTTAAAACTATTACAAGGTTATTAAAATGTATACTGTATGCATAATTGATTTTTTTTTTAAATATAGTTTAACTTCTTATGATTTTTCTTCGTTTTTTTTCAAATAGGTTGATTTACAAATATTTTAAAATATTTTAAAGCGTTTTTTCTATAATGCAAGCAATTGTTTGACATCAAGGAAAAAAATAAGTGTATACTTTCCAAACTATAAAGTGTTTTATTTGACATGTAAAAAATTTACACACTTAGGAAAAAATTGATATGAATCTGACAAATTAACAAATAATGTAAAAGGATCTTGATTTATATTAAGTTTATTTTGTAATTTAATTTTATTGTGTAAATTTAAAAAAAAAATTTCTATAGCGAAAAAAAAACTAGTGAAAATAATTTGAGTTTTTTTTGGGCTTTGCTTAAAGTTTTTAGTTATTTTTAATTATACTTTAAAATTGTTATTGTGCAGAAATTTCACTATCAGCCAAAAAATTATTCGATGAAATCAATTAGTGCATTGAAATCCAATCAACGAAATAATATTGTTATATCATTAGTCGCGAATATTTTATCTTAACATAAGAGAAATTAAATAAAGAAAGCTTAGTACCGATATAAGCTCTCGTAGTTATGTTTCTAAATTATTGCGGTTGGGTAGCTCTGTATATTATTAAAAATTAAATTAGGACGAGGCATTTAAAATATTACAGATTATGCTAAAAGTATTGGTAATTAATACGACAGCATCTCCACCTAAATTAAATTCTTAGCAATTTTTGAAGTATTTTGCACACATGTGTACGTATTTTATGAGCACATGCTTACTTTATGAGCATGTTCAGAAAGCTCAAAAATATTATCATTTGACAAACCGCTAATAGTATAATTATTAACAACCATGCAAAGACTCTTATTTAGACATACTTAAGCAATTCATTGCAAGTATCCATTAACCCTAATACAGTAAAAGTTGAAAAATGCACTGATAAGACTTGTACACTGTGAATACAAATTAATGTTTACGTCTTAATTGAAATTGCTGTAATTTATACATGTAGAGTAAAATATCACGCAGATTTTTAAGGAAGAGTCTAAAATCAAATAATATTTATTAATTTGATTTTAAAATTTTTGTATATAAGAAATGAAATTTATTAATGTGCGCAATAAGTGCCGGTTAAAAATTTTAAAATTTCGTTATGCAGTTTGTATAATTTAATTATTTTAATATAATTTTAAAATTAAATTATTTTAATATAAATATATTAAAATTTGTGCAATTTGTATAATTTTTTTTTATCGGAAAATTAAATATGATTTCTATTAAAAGCTATATTTAAATTGGTTGAATTAAAATAAATAGAATGAAATTCTTAAAACATTTTTAGCATTAAAATTTTTATATTCAGTTCTGATATTATGAAAATTTTTTTTCTCTTTCTCCACCTATTAGTTAACATAAAAACTACATAAAATACAAATATAATTTACAGGTGTTTCATATTAAGTATGTACAATATGATTTTAAAAAATACGTTTCTGTTATTCATAATTAAATTAAAAATCAGCTTTCATTATCAAACTGAGCTTTCTTGGAATGCAAATGAACAATAAAAATTAATTTCATGACATGATAATGAACCTGATAAAAATATTATTCAATATGCATTTATTATGAATAATAATGGAATAATAAATATGACAATATTTATTAATATAAAATTTATGAATACGAGCTTTGTATTTAATCAACTCGGCCAATTAATCAAACATTTAACTATACTGAAATTGTTTAAAAACGCCTTGAATTTACCATGCGAATAAATATGAGAACGATATTGGTTCCATTAATTATTCAGTTGTCTGCACTAATTTATTTTGAATTTATGAATATCAAAATAATTAAAGAAATGTGTGCACTCATCGTACAATGAAATAACCGCTATAAATTAGAACCACTTGTACTAAACGAATGCAAATCAAACATGAAAAATCTTTATTAAAAAGAAATGTTTCTTTAAGCACGTTTTGCCGACGGCTTTTTACTTTTTTTTTGAATACTTTTAATTTATAACAAATATAAGAACGTTTCGCATAAAAAAAAACAAGCAATACTTAGTTTTAAAAAATTTAATTATTTTATAAAAGCTAAAAAAATATAATCACTTACCTCCACCAATTCCAGAACCAAAAGGCCCTTGACCAGGAAATAAACCGGGTGGACCAAATGGGGGTAATTGTCTACCGGCAGCTGCTGCAGCTGCAGCTGACCATGACATTCCACCACCCATATTACCCCATGCTGCTGCTGCTGCAGCTAATGCACTAAATGGAGTTGGTCTTATTGGAACATGACCAGCTAAACCTGGTGGTCCAGTTAACATTTGTTGTGTAGCACCAGTCATTGCTGACATAACAGATACCGGTGGTGATTTACTATCTAGTCCTGGTGTTGAACGATCATCGTCAGCATTCATATCTTCAATATCTACTATTGAATCTTCTTCTTCTTGAGCTGAATCATATTCAATTTCTGATTCAGCACCAGAACTATGTGGTGTATGACGTTCATTTTTTGTAATTGATGTCGCTGTTGTTAAACTACTATGATTACTTTCTTGTTGATGATGTAACAATGATACTGGTGATGTACTACTGGCCTGTTGTTGTTGCTGTTGTTGCGATGATTGATTCAAATTTGAATTTGGTAAATTAAGTGAGTGTGCATGCGAATGATGTAAATGAGGATTTGATAAAACGGATGCTGTAATTAATGCCGGATGATGATGTAAATTTGTGCTAACATGTATACTAGGTGTACTATTGCTAATTGAATTATTATTATTATTATTATTACAACTATTGTTATTATTATTGTTGTTGTTATTATTATTACTATTATTGTTGTTATTATTATTACTATTATTATTACTATTATTATTATTGTTATTATTATTACTATTATTATTATTTTGATGTAATTTTGATTGAGGTGATGTTGCTAGTGTTGTTGTCGTTGTTGATGCTGTTGTAGATAAATTTGTTGGTAAATCAGAACATTCATTATTATTATTATTCCCATTAGGTGATTTCGGCCTTGTATCAGCTAATAAAGATGCAACACTAAAACTTATTCTGGAGTTAGACTTTTGTTGTTGATGACTACTACTATGATGATGAAGATGATGATTATGATGTTGTATTTGATGATGATGTGACGATTGATTTGTTGTGGTTGTTGTCGTCTGTTGGGGTGATGTCGATGATAATGGAGGAACCGTCGGGCTCGTCATCGTTGAGCGAATACCAGTTACAGTCATTCCTAATTTTATCATATATGGTAGATTTTTTTTGTTTTATTATTGGTTTATTTTATAACTTTGTTTTTTTTTAAATTAAACAGTAAAAATCAATTTAATTATTTTTTATATCAACATTGATATATTTTCCATTTTTTTTTCTTTTAATCCTTAACAAATCTTTCTAATATATTTTAACAAATATCACTTGATATTTTATTAGGTTTCAATAATATTTTCATTTAAATTATACTTGAATCTTCACTTTCTTATATTTTATGTTAATTTGTGCAATAACTGTAAATTTTTTTTTTATTTTATAAAATTTCAAATAATTTTTTTTGTCGCAATTATTGAATAATTGTCATTTTATAATTCATTTAAAAAACAAAATAATTTCAATTTGAATTTATTATTATTTTTTTTTTGTTTTTGTTTTTTCAATTCAATAAATCCAATTAATTAAAACTACTCAGTTTTGAAATTTTTATATTCATTTAAATTAAATAATTGTTATATAAAAGAAATTCAATAATTATCATGTGTGTATTAATGAATTAAAAACACATGTATGTATAATAATTTTTCGAAAAACCAATTTATAAAAAAATTTTTTTTAATATTTTTTCTATTGAGGAAATAAAAACCACGTCTACACGAGATCACGACTTGTGCTAAACTAAAAACATCTGTACAAATCTCAACAGTTTGCTAGGTTTAACTTGATAATTATATTTTTGTTATTTGTTTTTTTCTCTTGTTGGTTTCTTATTGCCTATTACATATATATTCTGTTTAAATAATATATTATTGTTTTGCTTACTCTTTTAATAATATATATTATTCTTCCCTTTCTAAAATCTACTATATTCTTTGTTTTTGTTGTAGATTAATTTATGAAATCGATCGATTTATAATGCAGTAGTGTTGCACGAATGAGTTGTACAACCCAAAATAAATAAATTAGTTATATCTTATGGTGTTTCATATTCGTATAAAACATACACAAATAAACATCTAATTGGATATCTCTTTTTACGTATAGCTTTATCTCTTTTTGTCCTTCGTTAATTATGTATACAGTGTGGATATAAAATTCATTCATTCATTTTTTATCTTGACGTTTTCTAATAAATGAATCATACAAACAAACAATACTATACTTACATACTTTTATGCATTGTACAAACACAAACTTAATTTATGAATTGCATTTTTACAATTCCATTTGTATGCATGTGGTGAATCGGGACTGATGATAGTAGTTGTCATTTTTTTTTGTTTATCTTTTTTTTTTGTTTATGACAAAATGTACATGTGTATTTCCAAATTTCCAATATATGAGAAAATGAACATGATATTTTAAGTGTGGTGAATATTTTTAATAGAGAAAGTTTGATATAATATGGGAGTGGCTTATAAATTTTGAGTATTAAAAAGAACTGTTAGATGAGTTGTAAAATTCCAGTTTTACACCATTTTTATTTGTTTTAAAATGCATGTTAAAATGTAAATCCTGTTTACTAAATGATTATATAGTAGAATAATAAAGAGAAAAAAAGGGAACAGTAGTATAAAACTGTAATGAGAGAGAAATAAACCGTTGTTGAATTTCCAAATTGTAATAAGGATAAATTGTTTTATAGCATTTTACTCTCTGTTTTTATGGTAAATATTGTTGAATTATGATTTTTTTGTTGTACTGAATGAACAACTCAACATTTTGTATCTATCGCGATAATACACGTATAAGTTTTGTTTCTCAAATAATATTTTATTATTCCAATATGGAAATTATTTTTGTATCAAACGCCTCATTTTTTTTTAAGTTTGATGGTATGTTTGAATTAAATATGTTTTTTTTTTATCTTTTTCTAATTATAATATGTACATACATTAGTATACATAGTAAATTTTTTAAATACACTGAAAAAAATTCTTAACCAATCATATTTTAGAGCTATACCATTTTCAATTGAAAATTATAAAATAACAAAAAAAAATGCAAATACTTATTTAAAAAATTATGTTAAAAATTATAAGGTATTTGAATAATTTACATGTATTTGTGAATATTAAATCAAAACGAATAATAAACGAAAATTATAATAATGATGATAATGGTAATAATAATAATAAAAATAATAATTGCAGAGATAGGTGTACATACAAAAATATCTATGTATATTATTTGACTGAGTAGCTGCTGTGCTTGGTTTGGGTTTTCTGACATTATACATTTTTGTTTTTTGTCATACTTTTTTTTTAAGAAGGAGAGAGAGGGGAGAAGAATGACATATTTTCGTTTTGTATTCAGTTGTTTTATTTTTCTTCTTTTTTTTATTTTATTTATCTTCATTCTCTTATATAGTTTGCCGTAGTTTCTCTATTGTATTTTTGTTGTTATGCTAACTGGCTGGATGCCTGTGTGAAGTTATATTAAATGCTTTATTATTAAAATCAATTTTTAGCTTGTTATTTGGAATAAAAAGAGATATCATTATTATAATTTAATTTGACTTATTTTTTTTTTCTCGTTAAAAATATACATGCATACCTACATAGTTACATATATAATAAATATAAATAAATATAATATGTAAAAATTGTATAGAAGATGCTTGATATAAAATATATGTTCTCGTATAATATGTACACTATGTATATTAATATATGTATATAAATGTTAAATTCATAACACAGCTAATTTTGTGTGCTTTTGAATTTTTCTTTAATAATAAAAAGGAAAATAGTGGAGAATAATATGCTATAGATAGAATGTATATACGTACATATATGCATAAATATGTACATATTTGAGAATGTGTAAAGTTTTGTGGGTAGAAAATTTGAGATTTGATATAAAAATATTTGAAGAGAAAGTTAATTTAGGGTGAAATGATAAATTTTTTGAGGTTCATACCTTATGTTATTACTATACGCATATACATATTTACATAATTATATGCATATGTTTATATAATTCTTCTATAATTATTTTTTTTTTGTAAAACAGAATATAAAGGAAGGTTATCAAAGCCAAATTTGAGCAATTTATGAAATTAATTAAAAATTATTTTTCATAATATTATGGAAAAAAAAATTTCTACAGTGCCTAAATATATGCAATATTTGTATTTACAATTTAATTAATTTTTTTTTATTAAGGTTGTGAAGTTTACATACTATGCTTTTTTCTAGAATTTCAGCTTTATTTGGAACGTTGCCGTGTAAGACTCTCAATAATTAAGTATGCTTATACAATAATTAATATCTCAATAAATAAGTATAAGTTCGATTCACTTTTTTGAAGCTCAACTGTAAAGCATATAAAACTAAGTGAGCATGTTCAGAAACAAAGAAAATTAAAGGAATTTAAAAGTAAAAGCTGGTAATTTTTTAATTTAGCTTCAGGCCGGTAAACCTGAGGTATTTAATTTTCATTTAAGAAAATTTTAAACAAATTTGTGAAATTTGAATTAACATACGTACATACGAGCTTAATTTTTATAAGAATTGTTAATAAGGTCTCGTTTCCTTGCAGTTTTAAAGCATTTTGGTGTTAAATACGTACTTTAAGCAAATATGTAACTTCTTTATATAATCGCCATTTATTTTTATGAACATCTTTTAGTATTTGGCTACAAAGAATTATATTAAGCAGAAGAGAGTTGTAAAAGTACCTATGTGGACATGAATTTTATTAATATTATATCGAAGTTAATTTGTGTTTTCTTTTAGTTTTTTTTTTATTGTTGAATAAGGTTAGGTTTTAAATTTTATTTTTATTATTATGTACTTACATAAATAAATAGCTATATAATATAAATATATATAAAGAAAATAAATCTAAAAATTTCTTTTCTTTTCAGCATCCACCACAATACACGGCTTCAAAATAGAAAAAAAATAATTTTCTTTCTTTAATTGACTCAAATTATTTTATACGAGTATTCATGTAGTTAACAGAAAATGATGTATAAAAGCAGATGTGGGAGAAAAAGAAGAATTTGTAAACAACAAAATAATATTATGCTCAATAAAAAATCTATATACTTACATATGAACGTAACGTATATATGAGATGAGCATGAAAGAGGTGTGGGTGAGTTAAAATTTTGATTTGTTTTATAATTTTTGTTATTGGAGTATGGGGACGTCCTGTCTAGGCAACTCATATAAAATATTATCTATCCATATACATCTTCATTTATACACACTTACATTGTGTATACATACATATATATATGTATATTATACTTGATTACAATAGAATAAAAAAAATTATATAAACTGAGCATACCTGCATTTATGTTGAAAAAGTAAAATACAATGGAAGAGAATTACATCTTACATATAAATGTATTTTATTAATAATAAGTATGTAACTGTATATACTTAATATGTATAGGAAAATATAAACCTGCTATGTTAACAAAAATAAATAAGCATATAGTATCTTGTATTTATTTCTCAATTTATGAAAAGCTTTTCTCAGTATAAAAGCATGCACATGCACACAATGTTATAATGAAGTTGTTATTATAAATTGAAAAAAAATTTATACAAATACATATAAAAAATATAAAGTTCACACTTGGTTATACATTATTATATACTTATTTTCAAACAACAGAAAAAAATAAGAAAAATTAACATTTATTTTATTTATTTATTATTATTGTTTCATATACCTATTTTGAAATGTTCAAGTTATTTTCAAAGAGATTAAAATTATACATACAGTCATACCAAGGCTTGTTCACTGTATAGAAAAAAGTATAATAGGATAAATTATATGATAAAATAAGAGAAACATATTTAAAATAAAAACAAAATTTCATTAAATTGTACACAAACACACAAAATATAAATAATATTAATATAATGGAAGAAAATTAAGTCTTTTGTCAACGTTAAGTGCAAAATAATTTTATGTCATGTTATACATTATATATATTATATGTATGTAATTGAATAACATTATTCATTATAATATATTATATAAGTTTGTTAAAGTTATACACCTACACATTATTAGTTGCGTCAGATATATACCTACATATAAATGCACGTGTATCTAATTATGATTCATATTATAAAATATTTATGCGAAATAACAGTATTTCGATTATTAGTAGAGCTTTTATATATTTATATAATAAATTTAGAGATAATGTTAAAATAATATTAATTA